TTTTTTTTTGGTTTTTTTTTGTTGGGGGGGGGGGGGAAGGGGGGAATAATTACGATCCCAGAAGTTCCTTTTCCCGCAAGCAACACAAGAGTGGTCAGGTTGTCTGTTGATTCAGTTGTCTTGGGATGTTAATAAGTCTCTGGTCTAGTCTGTCTTTATTGTGTATCTCTATTTTAACTTCTGTTAAACTTACAAGGAAGTTCCCTGGCAGCAGAAGGGTTTGATAGAGAGAACCGTTTGCAGTCTTTTCAAAATGCACTTTCCTTACACTGTTTATACAGTAAAATTTTGAATAACATAATTCTAGCAGGTAGACTTACGGTAATGTAAGTAAAGTCAAGTTAAAAAAGACTTCCTTGTTTTTATGGAGAGAAGATGATCGCTTGTAAACAGCTTCCTTTATTTTGACTATAATTGGTGGTTCTAGAAAAGGACAGTGCTTTTGTTAAGATAACGTTTGAAAATTCTGCCTCTGAGGTGGAACTCTTTTCTTCTCAAAGGACATCTTTTGCCAAGATCAGTCTCTTCCATCCTTTGTTCTCATTCTACATCTGCGAAGTATAGCACTCAGCCGTCTAATAAGAATGGAGCCCAACCTCAGCGGTGGTATGCGCTGGACCCTGAACTGGAAGAGATGCTGGTCCCCAGAAAACTGTCCATCAGCCCCTTAGAGAGTTGGCTGACAGTTAGATACTCCCTTCCTAAAGCAGAAGTCATCAGTATTCATGGAAAAGCAGGCTACGAACCTGTCCAGCGATACGACTGTCCAACATCTGATGTGGGAGCTGACGTGGAGGAAGGGGAAAGAACACTTGGCAACAGGCTTGAATGTAAGAATGTTTTAAAGATCCGCAGGAGGAAAATGAACCGACACAAATTTAAAAAGCTGCTAAAGCGAAGAAAGTTTGTACGGAGGAGGATAAAGGAAGGTCGCAAGAAGAAACGTCAGGTAAGCTTGGAGTAAAGAGAGCAACAAAAGTGTGCCTGCTTCACAAATTGGCCTCTGCTTCCTTTAGGTATGGGAGGAAGATGTTGGTAGAATTGATTTAGCAGAAAGCAGCAGCAGCTTTGAGAGCCTTGGTGAATCCAGTGTTTACTGGTACAATGTCCCTTCCCCCCCCCCATTTTTCTGATTTATTTGATCTGGACATCTTCAGAAATTATAATTTAGAGTAATTCTGTGATTGTGAACAGATATGTGTGATAGTGCCTATGCACGATTTTTCTTGTGTAACAGTAACTTGTTAGTAAGATAAGTGGCTAGTAGAAAAGAATTGTGTGTATGTGCTTGTGCGTATGTAAATCATTAATTCATCACCTTCCAATGTATCTGGGAGGCTGATTTAGTTTTAATTTCCTGCCTGTCTTGTCAGCATCCTCAAGTGGTTCCACAGAGCCACTGCAGAGAGAGAACATTCTATTTTCTTCCATCTGGAAAGATTTTATGCTTCTTAATAGAGAAGGTAGGGGAAGACATGGGCCTTCACTCCAATTGTTGTAGATGCGTTCAGTGACTATTCAGCACTGCCTTTCAGTAGTCTGTTAGGTCTACCGCGCTATAGTTTTTATTTCTTGTTCCACTTCAGATTTGTGGGAAGCAGGGTTGAACACGTTATGGTGAGGAATCCTCTTAGTTTTCTTACAGTTTTATCATCTGTGTTCTCAGTTTCCCTACTACAGGGGGTTCTTAAACAACAAGTTCCTCGTATGTTTCAGATATATTTTCTGCAGTAAGGCTAACTGTGTTTTCATAGATAGAACAAGCTGCCTAGATAAAACGTTTGTTTAATTCACGTAGGTTATACCTAGCTTCTCTTTGGGCTACTTGGGCAGTGATTGAATGATTGAGTATTGCTTCTAAGCTATGCTACCTTTCCCCCTCCCCCCTTTTGTTTCAGATAAAGTTTGAGAAAGATTTGGAGCGCATCTGGAAAAGAGCTGGTTTGAAAAATCCTCCCACAGGATGGCAAACACCCAAGATATTTTTGAAAAGTTCAAAGCGATAAAAATGCTTGTAATGAGTTTTGACCTATAATTTTAATTAAAAAATATTTAAGTAAGCAAACTTCTTTTAACCTTTTTCTGAATGTGATGAGACTATTAGGAGGTCACTTTCTGTCTCGGTTAGCAGTTTTCCAAGGGCAAACCTGATGTGGATGTGCTTTTCCTCCTCAATAAAATGGTTTGAGCCACTGTGTAGTGACTTGGTGCTGCTGTGTGCAGTCCTATGCTGCTGCTACCAACTGTGCTCTTGAGCAAAGATATCTATTAGACTGTAGCTGAATTTCTGAAATTGTTATTTAAGATTAGACTGAACGATGTATGATAAAAGTAACTGGCTGCGGGAGATGAAATACAAAGTGAAAGAACTCTTCTGATCGTTAGCGTAACTACATAAAACACCACCAACTTGAAAAGTTATGTTTAAAAGGACAACATTTTTTCATAGCCTTACTGTAGAAGGCCTGCTACTTAATAACAGTTACAGTGAAATAGGCATTGGATCAGAATTGCATTAAATATTTCTGCAAAAAGGCTTTCATTTTCACTTGCTTGAGGTGTCAGTATGCAGGTGGCTGAGAAGCATTGTATGAGCAGCCTTAAAAGGCAAATTTATTTTTTCTGTTCTGTTTGCACTGAGAAAAACTTGTTTAAGAGCTTGGTATTCACTAACAGCAAAAACTGCTATGTGCCTGAGACAACCCTTCTGTAATCAGCTGTTTTTCCATGGTAGAAAGAATAAGGAAAGCTGTGAAAAATATGGATATTTACTTTAAACCCTGACAGAGGACTTAGATATCTGAGTTCTGTTTTGAGTTCTGCTTTGCTTTTCTATTTGAGGCAGTTCACTTCCCTTTTGTGTGCTTTAGTTCCTCCCTGTTTGTATCTCAGCAGATGGATGTAGGGTGGACTGACCTCTAAGATAAAAGAGGAAAATAAAAGATATTTCTTAGGTTCATTCTGCAGCCTATAGGGGAGCTAACATGAAAATGTGTTCCCTTTTATCTACTAGGAGCAGATTGCTTGACTAAACTGAAAAGGAAGGAAAAAAAAAAAAAAAGAAGGAAAGCAAGCTGTGGAACTCACTGCTACAAGTTACAGTTTCATCTAGCTGCAGGAAGGACAGGTGACTCCTAGTATATAATATAGTGAACTTTTCTGAAGTTCTGTGTGCTGCTCTCTGATATAGCTAGCAGAAGCCTGTATAAAACAGGCATTTTTGGATGATGGGCACAGTAGCTTAGTCCATCCTTCTGTAGGCATCTGTACAACCAGAAAGCATCTGCTGCTCTGTCAGTAGATGGAAGTAAAGTCACAGCCTCTGAAACTCCTTAGCTACAGTTGCAGAAGCTAGCTAGATCTTTCCGTAGCTATTTTAGAGAAAAGGTACACCCAGCTTTAAAAATCGATTAATCTTGCCAGAGAACTGTTGGCAGCGTGAGAATTGTGTTGGAATTCTGTAGAAACATGCGTCTAGAACATGTTATAGTTGTTTTTTTCCAGACCATATATCAATAGTAGATAATTTTGATCAGATAATTAAAAAGACATTTCTTCCTCTTCATGCTTTCCAAAGGTGCAGTTGCTTTTAACCAAGAACAATAGGACTTTTTTCCAGCCTATTCTCAGGATTGAATAAAGAAGAAGATCTCTAGCCCTGTGCCTTAAAAGCTCACCAAGCAAGAGAAGATGGTGTGTTGATTCTGGCTGACAGGTGTGTGTTAAATATGCAGAGTGCATCTAGGTATTTCTAATCTGTCAGTATACCTTTCCTGCCTGAGGATGCATAGATGAAAGGCTGGGGCCTGAGACAATTAGCACCTTTGGAGTAAGGTCTA